GATTAGCTGTGATGTAGCCACAGCTTTCCTGGGGGGCAAAGACAGAGGCGAGGCTGCCAAGCACTGGTCCCTCCGACCACCATCAGTAGGCAAGAGGGGTTAAGTGTCTTGCCCAAGGATACAATGAAAATGACAAACTGAGCGAGGCTTGAACCTGCAACCTTCCGATTACGGGGCGAGCACTTAACTCCTGTGCTCCTGTGCCCCTATGTTTACTGTGCTCTTAGTTAATAAAAAGGATAGGAGTTAGCTTTTTCAGTTCTCTGACCATCAATGAAAAGCACAAGAATAAGAATTCTGCCCTTTTTTTTGGCATCTTGGTGGAGCCTGCAGTAAAATAAGACAGTAATGTCTGGAGGCGAAGCAAAGAGTTAAAACCACAGTGAACATTGGTGGGGCCTACACTAGTTTGAGGAAGCTGAAGGAGTTTACAACATCATGGACTAATAGTGACCTGGCTTTGTTATTACTGGACTTGTAAGTAATAATATTTTTTCTTCCAGCAGTGTGGATCTTGTTACCTTAGGGCTTATTTAGTATCAGCTGGTTCGAGTTCACATTAGCTCATTGTTAGTGCAAGTTACAGCTGACTGCTGCAAGGTTGTTAATGACAGTTGTACTTCCGCATTCAACCAATAGGAGAGAGAACTGTGGTTCTTGTAGTTGTTTAAATATCTCCCCATAACACATTTCAGACCAAAAGCAACTCTTGGTCCATCCGGTTGTTGGTCTCGCTGAACCGCAACACTTCCATGGGTCCTCCATTCATTACGCACTCACATATTCAGCAACAGAACACCACTGGTGTGAGTGGTTCACAGACCAATAATATCAGAAGAAGAAACAGCCGGCTGCTACCACTTCAACTTTATGACTAACTACCGAAAAAACATAATTTGAAGTCACGGACAACAAAAGATGTTTGAACCTAAAAAAAATGGCTACTGGTGTTTTGCACCATCTTGTTTCCTCTGGCAATGTGGGTTTCTGGTTTTGGTGGATACGGATCCAGGGAAGATACCCGAGGGGAGGGGTGTGCCATCAAAACCTAGCTTCTTCGCAGATTCGCTATAGCAGCTTTAAGTGAAGTTTTAAAGAAGGAAGGTCACATAAATCCTTATTTTGCTCATCACATGAAAGTCAATGACAATTGCCAATGTGCATTTGTTTATAAAGTACGAATAAAACCACCAAGTTGGTCCATAACTAAGCAAGGCACGAGCAACGTAACATTTAAATCCACAAATGATGACTGTAGCAGCTTTTTAACTCAGCTTCAGTCTTCTGAACAAGAGCTGAAAGAATTACAACAAATCAATCACATTTTCAAATGAACAATCAAATCAATTGAATACTAATTTTAACTACAAACAAAAAAACATAAAAGAATACATTTGCAAACAGGCACTCCCATCTGAGAGCGTGGTGCTAAATTTCAATATCACAAGCCTGGAGGAAATCCCCCGAGTGCAAAGTGCGGATATTCATCTTGTTGTCTCATTATATTGTGACAAGCACCAATAAATGTGTGCGTGTCCTCTACCTGTGTAGCAGTATTTTGACAAGTGCCACATAATCCCCAGGAGCACAAGTGGGAAATTTCTCTGAAGAAAAGGAGCTTTGCTTTAGTCCCGGGAGATGAAGCCCAGAGCTTCAGAGGAAAGAGCCACGGGTATGATTCTTCTTCTTCTTCGTTGGTGTCTTCTTCGATGCTGAATAGCGAAAGCATGAGGAAGGAACTGGCCTCTCTCCCTCTCCGAACTTCAGTCCATATTCATGAGACCAAATATGTGTTTTAAATGTGTCATAATTGCTTCCTGTTGGTGGACTAAACTGTCAGAATCTTTCATCTCTAGCATCAACTGAATGAGATAAAAACTGCTTTAGGAGTAAGGAAGCATTTAACGGTGTGTTCCTTCCGCCAAGTAAAACCATCTAAACCACTTCTAAAAAAAGGGTCAAAGCTGGAGTGGGAAGACACAAATACATTTGGCTCTTTTTTAGAAAAGCGATCTTCAAACGTTAAAATTAACCAAGGCTGAGCATCATCCTGGAATCATGAAAGCATCTTTATGTATTTATTCAGCTAAAAATTAGATAACATGTTTAAAATGCTCAAAATGCACCAGATGAACTATTTCTACTAGGTGCTATCTATCAGATCTGAAGTATTTACTCATGTTCCAGATTGATGGGAATCAGTGCCATTTCGCTCACAATCTCCTTCCAGGAATTCTTTATCTTCAGACGGCGCAAAACAAACTACGACTAAAAGATAAGACTGAACAGAATCAGCAGGATGCCCTTGAAGGCAGTATCCAGCTTTTTGTTGAGAATAAGAAACAAAAAGCTTGAAGACAAAAACGTTTGCATCCTAACTAAAATAATATGCCCCAAATAAACAATTAAAGCCTCCAAAAAGAAGATTTTTAAAAATCACATCGGCCCAACGGAACCAAGAGTCAGCAGATTTTATTATCTGATGATGCATGTTTTTTTTTCTGACACCAGTCCCTTTCTGTTTGTTTGAGCTTTCCCATCACTTACAGTGTAAAGAGCAGCATGCCTCTGAGGAAAAAGGCAGCATCATGAAAGGGAATGTGGCCCCTGGCTCTTCGGAGGAGGCCCAGGTCAGAGCAGGGAGCTACAGTAGTAATTACTGAGGGACTGATTGCTGACAGGACCTTCCAACAGCCTGTGGTTAACTGGATGGAGCAGAGGGGGAAGAAGCTTCAAACGCTCGGGCCTGACAGATGCTCTGCGGATGACTCGCACTTTGAAGGCATGGATGTTGTTGAGTCTCTCAAAAGTAGCAAAAACCAACAAAAACATTTGTGCTTCAGGTTTTTTCCCCCTTCACTCCCCATGTTTTATGACACCTTTTGTCAGAGGAATGAAAAAGTTTCTCATTTCAAATACCCGCTAAATTATTTGCAGACTTTTATTTTGAAAAGGTGCCATAATTGGCTTTAGGCATATGGCTCCTCAGAATGATTATATTTATATACGATTTGGTCCAAATAGGAAGTTAATCCTGGAGTGAAACTTCCAAACCAAACAATAAGAGTGGAGTTCTCCGTAAAACACATTTGAACTCACTTATCTGGCTGAGTGGGAGGAATGTGTAATTGTGGCAGGCGAAGACGAAGCCTTGCCACAACTGGTAGAAAGCACCATTTTCCAACCGGATTATGCCAGTTTCTATCTCAGGGTGGTCATTTGAAAGCACTTGGGAGCATTCATCATGACCATGTGGACGTTCCTACCCTGTATTTTAGCCAACCAGTTTTTGCCATCCAAGCACTTGGTTGATTTAGCTTTATTTACACAGCACAGAGGTGTTTTGTCTCACACCAGGAGGCAAATTTAAATACATGAATGCTGTTTACTGGGTTTATTGGGAGTGTGCATATTCTGAGGGATGAAGTTGTTTTTTCCACATATGGTTGCATTAGTATGAGGTCGTAGTTCTGCACATAAAAAAAACAGCAAGAATGAAGTGGCAACGTGAGAACATCTGACTAAGCTGCACTTACCTCTGGAAAACATTTTATGAATGAAGGTCATGAAAAGAGCAAATTCTTTAACATTTTAGAAAAAAAATTCCCTGAGTAGCAACAACAGTGCTACTTTCTCAGGCTTGTAAGGATAAATTGTGGTTCTTTGGGATACTCTTACTTTTAAATCACTAGCTTATACAACCATCTTGCCAGAAATTTACAGGGAATTCTGGGAAAATTCCTTTAGTTCTAAGGTGTTATTGGCTGTGTTCCAAGTCAGGGGCAGCATCTCTGTAAGGACCTTCCCGGTCGACGTGATTGCTTGTGCTCAAAACAAGCCAGGATCCCCAACCCAAGAACTGCTCTTATGCACACATTAAAAGTGATTAATTACAAACAGACACAGAGTTATAACTTCTATACAGAGTTTTGATTATACTACTGGGTGTGTAATAGGAATTTTTTTGAATGTAAAATAGTAATAGTAGCCAGAGGTGTGGACTTGAGTCACATGATTTGGACTCGAGTCAGGCTCAAGTCATTATTTTAATGACTTCTGACTTGACTTCACAAAATCTATAAAAACTTACGACTTGACTCAGACTTGAACGCCAATGACTTGCGACTTGAATCGACTTGCATCTGTTGACTTGATGATGACTTGAGCACATTTGATATTTTAGCAAAGAAGTGTCAAGGCGTGGACAAAAATCATAAATCATTCTTGGTTCTGGATTTGATTTACTGCTAAATGCAGCAGCACTTTGCTTATAATCCATTTCAGTTGCACTTTCTGCTTGTTTGAGCAAATAAATGAAGCTTTAAGAAGCTTTATTTCTGGAATTTAATTATTATCATTGCCAATAAATTGATGTTGGACAGATGACTTGATTATGACTTGAAAATTCAAAGTTAAGCACTTGGACTTGACTTGGACTTCCACATCATTGACCTTGGACTCGATTTGGACTTGGTTGTCTTTGACTTGGACTTGACTCGAGACTTGATTGGAAAGACTTGTGACTTACTTGTGACTTGCAAAGCAGTGACTTGGTCACACCTCTGATAGTAACCTCCCAACATCACCAGACAAAATTGTTGGGAGTCTCAAATCACAACTAAAAGCTTTTCATTTTTTGTACCGCCAGACTGTATTGCTGTCCCTCATCATCTGCCATTGTTATATGGCCTGGAATTTGGGATAGAGCGGGCAAACAAGGACACACCAGACCCCTCCTAGAAATTTGGGCAAAATAAAGAAGCATTTGTGGGTTGCATTTTGAGTAGCCTTTGAATTAGGACTGACTTGTCACTGCTCTGTGGCATCATCAGACTTAAAATGCGGCCTTGAAAGGAAGCAGCCCCAGAATTTCAACATTTCAAACATATCCTGTGATCAGTGACCACTACTGGCCAATTTCTTTTCCAGAAATCAAAAAACAATATTAGATCACCTGCACTGTGTGTGGTGTTTGTACCATAAAGCCAAGAGCGACTTACTTCTGATGGTTTCTTGTGTTGGTGACGGACCCATGTGCTGCTGGTGCCTATGTTCTTAGATGACCTGGACCATGACGTCACTTGACCTGCAACGATTCAAAAAAGTCAAAACTATCAACATTTCTGTCTTGAGAATCCTAATTCACTTCCAATAAAACTTAACAGGCATTTGATATCTTAATCATGTTTGACAAGTGTTGATTTAAAAGAGACTTGAGGACAGGTTTATGGCAAGCAGCTAATTTTCTCCATTGAAACTTTAACGTCCTACAGGAGAAAGGGTTCAGCTGAGAGTATAAAGGTCGAACATAAGCATGAGTATCAATCAAGAAGTGTCAGGGAATCGTTTACCTGCTAAACAGCAAAAAGCTATTGGAGGTATTAAATCAGCACTAGATGATGTTTGAGGCTGTTGTGTTTTACAATAGATGTGATTCAAACACAAGTGAGAGGCACTAAAGCGAAAGCAGCCACTCTAAAACCCGATTGTTCCACACCGCTACAACTCTGACTCACTCTTTAATTAAAGCAGACTGCTGACGATCCATGAAGAGGTTAATTAGGTAATGACAATATAAATAACATCTTGTTAAACTGTTAGTCCACTGTGGTCCATTAAAAGCTCATTAATACACAACTTAATTGTAATCAGTCAGACACTGAAGCCAACATCCCACCCACCGCTTCAATCAACAACTCAGGAGGGTTTTTCTGTGCATTTGTACGGCTTGTATTTTCTCAGATCGGACAAACACCTGTTTAAACACGAATTGTGATGCGTGCATAATCGGGAACATTGTTGGTAAAACTATACATTAGGTGGAAAATGAAAGCATGTGTGGAAAACACTGGAAGCATTTTAAAAACAGAATATTAAAGTGTTGACTCAGCAGTGCTGCCATCATGTTTTATCGCAATGTTTCCTTCACTTACATGGAAAACCCGAATCACGTAGGAACGTTTACAGCTATTTTCCAACAGTTAATGTATTTTGTTTGCCATCATTACACAGTGAATCGAAGCCTTAATCTCATTGAAGATATAGTATTGTTTTTGGAGTTTCAAAGCCATAAGTTGGGTTGGGCATCTCTTTATCAATTTTATTTTATTATTATTATTATTATTTTTTATCCGTGTCCTGTCTGGCTGTGAAGCAAACAGAATTGATGTCTGAATGCTGGTAACAAGCCTTACAGAATTACTCTCAGGTGGAGCATCAAAGCGTCTGCTTTTAATGTCATGCCTGATAATTAAAACTTTATTGTTATTGCTTTTGAATGCTTTGAAATTGCGACCACACACAGAGTCAGAGGTGAAAGAGGAAGGAAAAGACAAAAGGTGGGAAGAGAGGGGCGAAGGGGGTGGGGGGGTGGGGGTTTCCACAAAAATAAACAATAATGAACAAGAGTCTGCTTCTAGACCTGCAGAAAGAGAGAATAAAAAAAGCAAAAAAAATAATAATAATAAAAAAAATTATGGGACACAACAACAATACAACAAGATCAAGCTATCACTGCGTCAACTTGATGAAGAAATATATAATCAACATTGTTTAACTGAACAATCACATGATAATGAATCACAATGCATTAAGTGCCCACCATAGTCTTAAGACCTGTGTTGAACGTGCCCAAGCCCATACTTTTGAGAGCACCATGTGAGCACCTGTGTGTGTACACGCGCTTGTTTATGTAAGGTTTCTCTATAGGAGCGTCCAATAGAGAGTGTGAGAGACCACAGATCCGCCCCCCAAAGATGCGTAGACGACGGGGGGAGCTCCAAGTCCCAGACATCCAGGTGCTGCCCCAGAACACAGGAACCCCAAGGAGACTGCAACCAGAAAGGCCCCCGCCCCCCTCGAGAGGCACAGAGGATCGCCCCCGGGGGCCACAACCAGCGGCCGGCAGAAACCCGAGAGATATTAGCGGCAAGCCCACAGGCCCACCCGCAGCCTCCTACCCCCTAGCCAGCCGAGCCCAGGACCCAGCGACCCGGGACCCAGGGGCGACCACCCCCGCCGGGGACCCAGCAGAGCCCAGGGAACCAGACCCCACCAGGCAGCCACCGGGATTGATCAGGCAGACGCCAAAAATCTTAAATCCCCTGATCCGGGAGCCACAAACACTCAGGCAGACCAAGGCACCACACCCCACACCAGGTGTGGCAGGGGGAGGGGGGACGAAGATCTATATCATCAAAAGAAGTCCCAGGAGAGGGGAGGAGTCAAAGGCCCCACCTGACATATACAGTCATACACACACACACACAGTCACACACTCCCTCCCTCATGCTCACACACGCACATACAACCCAAGACTTACAAAAATGCACGCCAGACACCCACTCATGCTCCCCATACACACCCTATTCACTCTGGTCCCGGTACTGCTGCACATTGGGTACAACCATCACCGGTTACCAGAGTTTGACCCTTTCTGTTGGGGTGCTGATGAGTAGGCTCCCCTGCCCAACGCTGAGCACAGCAACCCACCACCCCAGACCCCAACCAGAAGGCCAGATCTCCCTCCTAGCCTCCAGCCCCAGGAAGCCAAGAAACAACAGAGGTGTGCCAAGACCCCTAATCTCCCTCTGCCTGCTCCAATATAGTGTTGTGTGTTGATGAGGTGTATTCCATGGCTGTGGTGAGCAAGCAGTGCGGGCATTGTCTGGCCAACGCCAGCTGATGCCACCACACCACCCCACTTGCACCCACAACCCTCGGTGTCTAAGTGCAGTTTAAAATTGGAAGTGGGCACCGGTACTCGGGAGCAGGCTGAGAAATCCCCCTGCCAAGTGCCGTTGAATGTACTCACTCCCAAGACCCTAAGTGTGTGTTTGCGTGGAATGTCATCAGTGGAAGTGTTTAAGGTGCAAATAAAATTAGGGGGCAGGTTGCCACAGGAATGCGGAAATGGGTTCCATACCCGCACTCCCTGACTTGTCCACCCCCCAAGGTCCTATGTGCATGTTTGTGTGATGATGTAAGGGAGCAGGAGGAGAGAAATATGTGGGGATGGGGAGGAATGACTGGTTGGGCTTAGCCCTCCAGGAAGCCAGCTCCCCCACTGACCCCAATAAGCACCTCCGTTGTCAAACTGCCACCCAGGACATGGAGACCCCAGCCCATCCTGCCGGGGCCCAAAGCAGCAGCATTACAGAGTCTTACGGAGTCTGAGGACACCAACCCAGCCCCACCCCAGCAGAATATCTATGCCCATCCCTGCATTTAAACAACTTCCAGAATATAGAAGACATAGGACATCCAGGTAAGGTTGGGTCCTCCCCTTCCTGGACCTCCCCCTCCCCTGTGATGGGACAGCAGAGGAGCCAAGGTCTACCCGAGCCCCCTGAACCCGGGCCAGGCACTGCTGCATGTTCCTGCCTTCTTCCCGGCAGCATACATTTCAGGACCCGACCCCCAAGGCCCCACCCAGATCCCCACACGGGGCCGGCCAACCTCCACACCCCGAGCCCCCAGGCCCCCACCCAGACCCGCCCAGGGGCAATGCAGCTGCCAGACATAGAATATCTATGCCCTTCCCTGCATTTGCACAACTTCCAGAATATAGAAGACATTGGACATCCAGGTAAGGTTGGGTCCTCCCCTTCCTGGACCTCCCCCTCCCCTGTGATGGGACCACAGAGGAGCCAAGGTCTACCCGAGGCCCCTGAACCCAGGCCAGGCACTGCTGCATGTTCCTGCCTTCTTCCCGGCAGCATACATTTAAGGACCCGACCCCCAAGGCCCCACCCAGATCCCCACACGGGGCCGGCCAACCTCCACACCCCGAGCCCCCAGGCCCCCACCCAGACCCGCCCAGGGGCAATGCAGCTGCCAGGCAGTGACCCATGGCCGCCGCCAAGACCTCCAAGGGGCCCCACTCACAACCGCCAGTAGTCCACCCCGCGAGGCAACCCAAGCACCTCCAGAGGGGGGCAACGGCCCCCCAGTCCCAGAAACCCCCAGTGAACCCACCTCCAGGGAATATCTGGATACTCCACACTCAGACCCCCAACCCCCCCACCCACATCATCCCACAGGACAACATCAATGGTCCCCCATCATCACTATTTGATGGAACCGATCAAAGGAGCCCAGAGAGATTGATTTGAAGTGGAAGCAGAGGCTAAATCAAGTGTAATATGATCTAACAAAAGATTTCTATACTGGCTAATGCAGAGAGTTTCTCTACTTTTCCAATTCAAGAGGATAGTTTTCTTAGCAATGCATATGGCAGTCAGAACCACGTGAACCAACAACATCAATGGTCCCCCATCATCGCTATGTGATGGGACGGATCAAAGGAGCCCAGAGAGATTGATTTGAAGTGGAAGCAGAGGCTAAATCAAGTGTAATATGATCTAACAAAAGATTTCTATACTGGCTAATGCAGAGAGTTTCTCTATTTTTCCAATTCAAGAGGATAGTTTTCTTAGCGATGCATATGGCAGTCAGAACCACGTGAACCAAAGATGTTTCAATCGGGACATCGTCCAGGTTTCCCAGTAAACAAAGAGAGGGGGTGGTTGGGATATGACATTTCAGAGACTTTGACAGGTCTTCACAAACTTTACCCCAAAATTCCTGGACAGGTGGACAGGACCACAGTGCATGAATGTAATTGTCAGGAATGTTGTTTTTGCAGTGTTTACAGGTGTCAGGCGACACAAACCCCATCTTGAACATCCGATGACCTGTATAGTGAACTCTGTGTAGAATTTTGTACTGAATTAATTGTAAATTGGAGTGTCTGATCATTTAAAAGTTTTTAAACAAGTTTAAAAAGCTAACTGATACATCCACCTCCCATTTTTCAATAGGGGTTGCTATTCTATCGTCTATTTTGGACGGTGTCTTATATACTTTAGACCACATATGTCAGAGTCAAGGCCCGCGGGCCGCATTTGGCCCGCGGCGCATTTTTATGTGGCCCGCGAGATAAATATCAAAAATATATTAAAACTGGCCCGCTGGCCGATTTTACCGCAAATACTACAACTCCCATGATGCTTTGCGGCGCCAGCGCGGAGCAGACGCGCCCCCTCCTTTGTGTTTTTTCAGCGCCGAGGCAGTCAGAGGTAGTTG